ATATATATTTACTATTAAATTCAACCACTGAAAACCAAATAGATGAGCAGAGTCTCAGGTTGTTTAAATATGTTGAAAATATGTATTTGCTTGCATTTGTGTGTGTGTGTGTATGAAGGAAGTAGTAGCACCCTGATCCTGTGGCCTTTGCTAATGGTTACTTAGTGATAGAATGATGATGATGATGATTGTTTAATAAAAATGGTACTTTAGTTAAACAAAGTCAGTCTGTTTTCCTACAAAGGCCAAACTCTGATCTCTTTTTGCCCATCATACACTCTTGATGATAGCTCAACTACCATCGTTTTGACATTCTAGCACTGCTACATGCCATTAGCATTCTGTCCCATGGCACTCTCAGAGAGTCTTCACTGCCCTGTGAATTGACCCAGTAATTATGCCAAATGCTTTAGGAATGCTCTAGTATATTATAAGTACATCAGTGAGAATGTTCATGTGGTACAATGAAATTACTCTTTCTCACATTCCGTAAGTTTCCAGAAATCTACTCACAAAGGAGTGCATCCTTTATGAAAGCAAAACTTCACGATCACCACTACAAGAAAAGTTTGAGACTTGGAATTGGAGACATTGGATCCTTTGCTTTGGTCTTAGATTCTGCTAAATCTTTCTTAAATATAAACATGTTAGAATCCTCTAAAATACTTCCACCTATGTAGTTTAAATTATTAACATCAGTCAATTCCTTTTCTGAGGATAAGGCTTCTACTTGCTTGATATTGTGAGTGAGGGATTGTGGACATGATGCCTAATAATGCAGAAATAATGAGAAGTAAATCCAAACCCCTATTTCTGCTTCCCATTCCCAGGAACCACCATGAAGATGATTTTCCCAGCACCTGCAAATTGACTTCTTGTCTCTGCTCTGATGACATCAATATCATTCAAGTACTGTCAACAGTTGAATTTGATTGTGTCCATGAACCTGAATGTATATTAGGAGTTTGGAAAAGAACAGGTAAGATCCAAAAGAAATAATGGAATCACAAGAGATAAATATATTTTTCAGGAGTATTTAGTCTTTTTTTGTTGTTGTTGTTTCTGGGGATCGAACTCAAGACCTTGCTCTTGCAAGGCAGGCAGCAGAACCACTGAGTTAAATCCCTGGCCTCAGGAGTATGTACAGTTGTAGAGTTATAATTTGAAATATTGGGTTTTTAAAATTCTTTATACTACTTTTGGCCCCTTCCAATAACATACTTATTCTTGTCATTTGTGAAATCATATTATCTTTGCTAACATTAAACACATTCATGGATCCAACAAGTATCACTGAATTCTGTGTTTTTGGTTTGATAATGTTATCTAGGGCAAAACTGTATCTCTCTGGACTGTGTTTTTTTATGTAAAATAAAAAGTGGAAAAATGAGAGACAGAAAAATTCTCAATATCTTCTTTTATACATTCATTCATGAATCATTCGATAAATGGGCAGAAGCCTAAGAATAAAATAAAGTTCAGCCCACCAAAAATTTCATAGTGAAATAGGAAAGAAAAGACGCATGCAGAGTAACTCTAATACAGTATGGAAATTTGTGTAGTAGACTTAAGACAATATGCTAGAGGATCAACATTCAGGAATAAGTTCTCCTTAGGAAAACATTTAGGAGGGTTTTCTCAAAAGAGAAATCAGTTTGTCTTGGTCAAACATGGACAATGAGTACAGTTTAACCTAGTGATCTCTTGAGGAAACAAAGAGAAAGGAATAAATAAAGGTTTGTGCATGTTGAAAGGATTTTAGCATTCAGATTTAATTAGCTAGAATATATAGATAAAAATGGTGTCTGTAGAAGTTATATGGAAGCATACAACAGCCGATTGTTAAAGACGCTAAAGGCTTGCTAAAGCACTTCAGACAGTGGAAAATAAAGTAATTTTTTCACTTTCCAAGTCTGAGAACAATATGCAGGCACAGATAATATAATCCAAGATAATTTCTTAGAGACAAGAAGAAATTCTTGGTTGACTGATCTAATGAAATATAAATAGGGGATTGGTCTCACATTGTCTATCTTCAGCACACTGGGATCATAGAGTAAGCATCCTTATTCAAGTGTTTACCTCATCTGTCAATGTTTACCTTGGTGAATGGTGTTTGGATTGGCTCTTGAACTATCCTGGCATTGCTTCATCTTTCCAGACAGCTGCTCTTTTGAAGCATCATTGAAAGAGATGGTGCTTACTTATCTAGAAAAGCATACTCTTGTCAATCAAAACGTAAATAGCATCCAATCCACCTGCATGTCCAGAAGCTGGAGGAGAGACAGGAATGTTTTCCCACTGAAGATCTGCCAAGTTTAGAATGATGAGTGAACCCTTTGTGAACCCCCTGGAATTGTAGCCAAAAACCCCAGCATAAAAGCCTCTGCTATTGCTGTTGGTCTTTTATATTCATCCTTTATTGTTCTAATAAGAAGTCCTTCAAGGGTTTCCCAAAACTACAAAATCATACAATATTTTACCTGCTTTGTGGAAAACTGCATACGCTTTTCTACTGCCTCATTTTCTCCCTAGGTAGTAGCATTAGATTTTTTTTTTTTTTTGCTTTTCCCCAAGTACTTCACACTCTCAAAAACTTGGTTTGCATTATTCAAATCATTAATTCCCTTTCTCTAGTGATCTACAACAATAAAGTCTTCTTGGAGTGTGAGGGATGATCTGCAAGCACAATGAATGAATGAGATTTATTCACAGCGTCTGAATTAGAGCTGTCTTGCATGCCAAGGGAGGATTGATCCCTGGTCATACAAAGCTCAAATAGTGTTTTTGATGGTCCAATCACATTTCTTAGAATGCCTCAGAAGTTGGAAGTATGACTCTTTCTGTGTTTCATCCTCTGTGTCTCTTTTCAAAGTGACTGGCTTACAAATAGAAAGATTTGGCAAATCCAGAGACAGAGCATCACAGAGAACAAACAGACTGTGGTTTGTATTTGTTTCTCTGTCAGGTGTTGCTGGGATCCATTCCTTTCACACCACTTCCAAGTATGTGAACTCCAGTACTATAATTTGGTCGGGCAAAGAAATCACTGGCAAATACAGCACAGCAAACTGTGGGCTAATGGTTAAAGCTGGAGATAACTCTGTTTACTGATCCAGCATAGCCTATTGTCAGCTGGGTGAAGAGTCTCTTGTAAACCCTGAGAAGCCAGACTTGCAGCAAGGAGGACAGAAAGTCCAGGGAAACCACAGACGACAGGGGATTTGTTTTTTCCACTAACAGTTATTTGTCTTTTGGAAAGAGCAGACAAGCTCAGTGTCTCTCATAGGAAACAATAAGATTAGACATTCGGAAACACTAGTGCTTTGAGAAATTGCAGAGGAAAAAATGACAGACTGTGTGGCAGCATCTGCTCTTAGAATTTCGCAGGCCTTCCTCATCTTTTTTTTTTTTTTTTTTT